GCGCGTGCAGCGCTCGAAGGCTCTAGCGAGAGAGAGCCGCAGCGCCGTGGCACGGCAGATAGTCGATGCTATCGACTCGGAGGATGTAAGTGTGTGACGCACTTTCTCCTCATTCTGATTGGTCGGTAAACGAACCTAAGTGGGGGAGGATGACGGGTTACATGAGAGTGACCCGTCACTCTCCCAAGGGAGCTGTGGTGTGGCATACACCACAGTTACTAGATGGGTACATGGCTTGAGAGTCATGTAATATGGTGTGGCATACACCACAGCTACTTGATGGGTACATGGCTTGAGAGCCATGTAATAGGAAAACATTAAGGAACACCTCTAAATATATTCAGTCTTTAAACTACCTAAATTTGGTTAACGTTCCTCTGACCAAGGATCTGTGAACTGCCGTTCACTTAGAGTTTGTATACTCTTGGAAGTCAACCTTCCTCTGTGCAAGGTGCCGTGTGACCCGTCACATATTCAGTATGATTTTACACATCCGACCTTTTGGGTCTGTTCGACTATGGACGACCATATCGTCGAAATAGTTATGTGTACAGCTGCGATTTGAACCAAACAACTGGATAGCTCGACGATTGTTTAGCACTGGTGCCTTAGACAGCCCTTGTGGCAAAACCACTCACTCGTAGAGCATCCTGATTGTACTACTCATCGCAGTGAGTGGAATGTCACTATCCCTTGCCAGCAGTAGATAATGACTAGCGATAATTTGCTGAGGTATATGTTCAAAGTGAAGCCGGCCGTGCTGTTCTACAGCATATCATCCGAAAAATCGGCGGATCTGCCATAATCGTGGCCGCGTTTAGTTTTATGATAAGTAGCCACAAATCTCCAGCTGCCGTTAGCCTTTCTGCAACAGAGGAAGTTTGCGCCGAATCCGACGAATAAAGTACCAAATTAATATTGTGTTTGGCACAAGAGAAAGTGACAATGACGTCTGACTGTTCCCTAGGTAATAAACATTGCTATGTGACACAATATTTGCTTACTGGCACCAAGTCAATTTCATGACGCACTCCACTATCCAGAAGTAATACACGTGTTGGTTCTCTTGTCACCACGTCGTGATCTACCTTGAAGATAGCTTTCCGTCCAATCCCACTCATCGCTCTCGAGTATTCTTAATAACAGGCATGACGGACGACAAGCTTCGCTCCTCCTTCAGTACCAACCGTATCCTTGCCAATATCCTCCAATGATTATCCTTTCCGCTCTAAGATCTTCTCGTGAAGGAAGCTAGAAAGGATATACAACCCCCCTTAGACTACTATTATTCTATCATGAGTAACCAATTATTTTCGCCGTTTATCCTTAAAGCTCCGCATGGATGGCTCTTCATACGTAGTGCTGACTGAGCGGTACCATCACAACGTGGCAAGGATTAGTAATTCTTCTGCCTCCAAGTTCTGACATTTACCTCGTGATTTGCCGCCACCCTTCAGCTCCATCAGCTCTGGCACGGGATCGTAACACATGGTCACATCCACCCTCCACCTACCCTAGCACAGGAGACAGCAGCTACACTCTAGTAACCACAACATAAAGCCGTTCTTTCTCGTCTCAACAAAGATGCCTTCTGGGAAACGCGATATACAAATGATCTTTTTCGTCTCATCGTGACACCTCGGCTCACTGCTGCTTCTTCTTTTTGAGTGCTGCTCGGGACACATAAAAATATAAATAACCTTTGCTACCTATTTCATTAAGTTCGTGATCGTACTTAAGAGGTGAGCTGTTTGCGCAACTGTGCGAAGCACCTGCACCACACTCGATATTAGGCTAAATGCTGCGCAGGTGTTTAGTGCCGGCGGTGCGTCGCACCTCCTTTCGGCCTACAGTCATCCCTTCACAAGCATGCGCGCAATATATACCGCGTGCCTTTACTGTGGAAAAGCAGAGCCAGCGCCACGTGATTGCCGCGTTGGTAGTCAATCAGCCCGGATGTCTGGCTGAAATTGCTAATCTCTTTGCCGCTCGAGGTGACTATACGTACAATAGGTTCTTCTATGATGAAGATGGTAACGGTATTATGATATAGGTTACAACATTGATAGCCTTGTAGTTGGCCGCACGGAGGTAGAGGAACTATCTCGCATGACTGTGGTTGTCAACGGCACTGCACAGAGTGTCGTAAACGTACGTGAAGAATGATTGGTAAATATCCTTGACACTAGTAATTAGTATTTTTATTACTCAATAGATGAAAAAGCAGCTTGAGGATGTTGTGTACGTGGCTGTTGTCAATATTCTTAGCAGTGGCGAAAACGCACAGAAGAATTACGTCGAGCGTGATTTGATGCTTGCAAAAGTGGCAACGGCTGGTACGTCATGGCGATAATAGTTTGTTTTACTTGGCCTTGATGTTAAAAGTGCAAATCGTTGCTACGTGCAGAGGCTGGATCTCGAGCCGAAGTGGTGGAGCTTGCCAACCTGTTCGATGCCAAGGTGATCGACGTGCGACCACACCAGGTTATGGTGCAGCTAGCTGGAACTCCCCGTCGTATTGAGGCCTTTCTGGATTTATTAAAACCGCTTGGGATCACTGAGATCCATCGCAGCGGAGTCATTGCCATGGCTCGCAGCACTAGCGTGACAGACAATCTGGGTGATCTTTCGACATTTGAGGGCGCTACTCGCACGCTTTTGGACGAGGCTGACGATGAAGAAGTTGATATCTCCCGTCTTCCACCTGGTTAATCGCTTTATGGGCATGTAGTCTATGTGTTCGAGCGTTCGATCTAATCCTGCGTATGCATTGCGCAAGCATGCTGTCGAATTCAAGGCCAAGTGACAATTGACTATCGCTTTGCAGTTTAGTACGTAAAATAATATTACGCATCGCTTAGCATGATACATTCGTGCTCTATACCAAAACAGTACGGATTGTATTGTGTATTATTTTGTTGCCCACAATATGGTACGGAAAGTTCACTTCATATTGTATTAACTACATTTTTTTGTCATCATGATGTAAGAATACGACGGTTGGTCAGTCACCTCAATAGACTTCTGCTGCTGACGCGAAAACTATTATTGAAGGGTTGCCGAGCTTTCTCAGCTTCTTCTCGGGCACGGTCAAACTCCTCCTGCTGCATTCGACGCGCTTGCATCTCAGCCACGCGTAGCTGTTCACGATCTTCTGCCAACACGAGTTCGCGAACAGTATAGTCATCGATTCGACCGACTTTTTCGATAGGCACCCGATGCTTGAGCTTCGGTAGCAGCCACAGCAGCGCGTTCGGATCGCTGTAGGATTCGTACAGACGTGGGTCAGATACGGCCTTCACATTAGAATACGGGTCCAACATAAAGATAAGACTTGGATCCATACCAACTTCCTGGTAAGCCACAATATCAGTAGGGCGATTACCGAAACCTGCCACGAAGACAGGGTGTTCAGTTACACGCCCGGCGTGAATAAGTGTCAGCTGTAACTCATTCAAAACTTGAATCTTGAATAGATGCGGTGTCTTGTTCACAACTTCTGTGAATAATGCACCAGTGAGACCAGTAGAATTGGTAATGAGAACTCCGGGCGGTAGTGAAATCGACTGTTGCTCTGCATTCTCCAAATGCGTTCGCGATGCTGATGCCCAGTCAAGTGGACGTGCTGTAAGGTATACAATACGCATCCCAAGCTCATGCAACTTGGTGAAGAAATCGCAGGCTCCTGCATGCAGAAAGTCGTACTGACCAAGACGCAGGGTACGAATGTGGCCCTCCACGTCACTGATTGTTAGTGTACCATCTAAGTCAACAACGACGACCGATTCGTTCGGTCCCCACAGATGCAGCTTTGTATCCACATAGCGAACTGTGTTCGTATACTTCTGGTAGTGCTCAAATCGTACAAGGTTTGGACGGTTCTCAGTCAGATCAGCAAAACACAAATCTTCAGGTGGAATGACCAATCCACCCGTGACAAACGTACAGCGACCACGTTCCTGCAACTCCATCTTCGTCGGTAATTCTCGACCATTCACAAGAATCCTGACCATATCGCCCACACCAGCGGCAAACTTTGTTCGAAAGCGCGACCATGAAAATGATACATGCCACGACGTCGTAAGATACTTCCCATCCGTGTTTTTAACAGCAACAATGTCCACTGCATTGCCCGACAGCTTATACGACGGTGCAGCAGTCTGCTCGTTCGTCATAGCAACCTGCAATGTATTAGAAGTGTACCCTGCTGAAATCGATCCATCGCTATTTAGAACATCAGTAGAAGTGCTGCTTATCCTATCTCTGCTATCGAGTGTACTAGACGAGGAAAGATGCTCTGACTTCTTCACTGCCGGCTCTAACTCATCTGTAGACGACAATGGCGGAAAAAGGTCGTTAATAACGGGAGACACCGAATCCGCAGCTTGCACAGATAACTCGCCAGGACCTCCTTCTTCTACTGAAGCTGTACCCGAATTAAGTGCGAGTTTCTTTACGACTGTACTAGCCTGATCAACACCGAAGAGGTCGTAACTCTCGTGGTCGTCGATTATGCTCGTGGAAAAAGACTTGACGGGCGAAAGTGACAATGGCATTGGAACTCTTTCAATGTTGTTGGAGTCATTTATATCGTCTGCCGATGGGACTTTCGGTAGCGGGGATGCCGGGACAGTTGCGTCCATGCTAATGAGAGGCAGTGCAGGTCTAAAGCCAAAATTAAAATTGATATTTTTGTAACGCTGAATCAGTAAATTAGTTACATGCTTAAAGTTGACATCGCAGTATCCATCAAAGCTCTGTTCTGAAATAAGTAAAAACTTCATATATGAAGCCTATCATCGTTTGGTACTAAACTTAAATTTTAAGCATGTAGTCTATTTCACATTTTAATCTTTCATTCAAGTATCAGTAAGACCTTTGGCCTTGAAATCTTCCGTGTTCGCTGGTCAAGTAAATGCTACGGCGAAAAGAAATGGTAACTGTCATCCATTCGCACTAATCTGGCTGATCTGATTAAATCAAACAGAAGACTTCGATGCGTGTTCGATGTACTGATTTCTTTTGCAAAATATACACTTACTTTCTAAAGCCTTTTTTCGAATATCTAAGATAGATACGGTACATTTATTTATAATAGCTCTCGGTGTCCATTAGATCGGAAAGTCGCACCACTGCTATGAAGATCGAGGAAGTACAGTCCACGGCGAAGGCACAGCGTATCGCGTCGCATACTCACATTAAGGGTCTTGGACTGGAAGCAGATGGTACGGCGTTGCCCATTGGCTCGGGTCTTGTGGGCCAAGAGAAGGCTCGTGAAGCCGCCGGACTCGTCGTGGAGCTCATCAAGTCAAAGAAGATGGCGGGGCGTGCGCTGCTATTAGCTGGAGCCCCTGGAACCGGTAAGACGGCTTTGGCGCTTGGTATTTCCCAGGAGTTGGGTCCAAAAGTGCCATTTTGCCCCATGGTGGGCTCCGAAGTGTATTCGTCCGAGGTTAAAAAGACGGAAATTTTAATGGAAAATTTTCGTCGTGCTATTGGACTCCGTATTAAAGAAAGCAAGGAAGTATACGAAGGCGAGGTGACAGAGATGACGCCAGAAGAGACTGAGAATCCGCTTGGAGGGTACGGCAAGGCAATATCACATGTTATTGTGGGACTGAAGACCACTAAAGGCTCTAAGCAGCTACGATTGGATCCCAGTATCTATGAATCATTACAAAAAGAAAAAGTCTCCGTGGGTGATATTATTTACATCGAAGCTAATAATGGCAGTGTCAAGCGTGTGGGGCGTTCAGATGCCTATGCAACCGAGTACGATCTTGAAGCAGAGGAGTATGTTCCCATTCCTAAGGGAGACGTGCACAAGAAGAAGGAGTTGATTCAAGATGTGACCTTGCATGATCTTGATATAGCCAATGCTCGGCCGCAAGGTGGGCAAGACATTATGTCCATGATGGGGCAAATGATGAAACCAAAAAAGACGGAGATTACGGAGAAACTTCGCACAGAAATAAATAAGGTCGTGAATCGATACATTGACCAAGGTGTGGCTGAGTTGGTGCCCGGTGTATTGTTCGTAGATGAGGTGTGTACTGGTCGGCACTATGTGCTCTTTTTGCTAGGTACTTACCTCTGTTTGCTTTTGTAGGTTCACATGTTGGATATTGAGTGTTTTACGTACCTAAATCGTGCCTTGGAGTCGACACTTGCGCCAATTGTTGTCTTTGCCACAAATCGTGGCGTTTGCCAAATTCGGGGCACGGATATTTCCTCTCCCCACGGTGTTCCACTCGATCTACTCGATCGGATGCTGATTATCCGTACCATGCCGTACTCCGTAGAAGAAATGGTGCAAATTATCAAGATTCGCGCTGAAGCCGAGAGCATAAAGCTTCAGGACGATGCCACCGTGCGTTTAGGCGAGATTGGTTCCCAGACGTCGCTCCGTTTCAGTGTGCAACTGCTGACGCCATCCCGGATCCTTGCAGAGACTCAAGGCCATTCCGAAGTTTCAGTGGACGATATTGAGGAGACAAACGACCTATTCAATGACGCAAAGCGTTCGGCGCATGCGCTGGCTCAAACGGAAGGATACTTGATGTAGGAAAGGCTGACGTCTATCGGTATTTTTTGATTTCGTTGGCTGATAATATTGCGGAAATATACCTTCAATGAGTCTTTGAAATGCACAAAGAGGGTACATTCGGATTGGGTATCAGAGTTTTGTCGATCGCGGGATCGATCGAATCCCTAGAACCCCTAGAACCCCAATACGTTTCTCAATTTAAGCCAGACACGCAAGCAAGATGTTGAGCGTAAAGAGATCAAACATCACCAGACGTAGAAAAATCCAAAATTCCTTGATGTATTGAGAC